TTATTTCAAAATGATGTTTCGTTTTTCTTTTTCCACAAAAAACAAAGAAAACAGGAATGAAGTCAAACGGTTTCTCTTCTTGTTCGACTTAGTAAGTAGGCTGACATGGAAAAAGCGTGTAGTCGTTCGGATGGGACAATATACCGAGGCTCCGTGTGCTACAGGCTATGCACGTTAAAGATCTCTCAAAAGTTGTAAATCGAAAAAGAGCAAGCTAATGTCACTGTCCTGGCAAAATGTCTCCATTGCACCCTGCATGGCGTTGTCCGTCTTCATTAGCCCACATGGTGCAGAAAAGTAGGACGTAAAACTCCATTAATTTCATTTCATTTTCTTGATATTTAATAAATACCAACTAATTCATTTTAGTAACATTTTTTAAACTAATTAAGTAGATTTCAATGAAAAAAAAGTCAAAAATTTGAATTTAGAGGATGTATTATTGTCTATTGAATTATGGTCCTGTCCCATTTGCATAGGTCAAAATCTTAATGGATTTCGAATGGGTGTTCGTCGTCTAATCAAATTACATATGAAAATGATTTGCTTAAGAAATAGCCATAAAGTTTATTATCCATATTTTTTCGGAGTCTTGTAGAATACGAAATTTATAATTGACAACTTAGTATATTGGCAATACATAAATCCATACGAAACTATGTATTGTTCTTACGTGGAAATAACTCACGAACGTAGTTCACGGCCATTTTGAATCTCTTCTTCGACTGAATTAGTCGGATTTATAAAAAGACTGTAGTGTTTCAACAAAGCCCTCAAATCAAATATAAAGCCATTTCTTAACCTTTCAATTTGATTTGAAGGTTTGGTTGAATTATCAAAACTATTATCAAAATTCGACTTATTTAGTCGAAGGAGAAATTCAAAATGGCTGTGAACTATGTCCGTGTGTGTTATTACCATGTAACAACCATACGTATGTTTCGTATGTAGGCCTACTTAAATTTTGACGTGGATGAGTTCTTTAAGAATCCAATTCTAAAGTGCCAATTTTACCACGCAATTGACGCGGAATGATATCGATAATGACTTTACGTATGAATGGTTATTTTGGATACTTTGATTGTCAATGCAACGTTTAAATTAAATTGTACACTATCTAGACGTCGAAATTTCATTCTAAGAAGTAAAAGATATAGCTGAAAATACGCTTCTTTCATAATAAGCAAGTGAAAGGACAAATACAACCAATGAAGGGTGGAATATTTTTTGAGAAATTGGTTTTTGTGCTACCCTTTTTCAAAGGCATGTGACCCAAAAGCAACGGGGGTCTAGATGTGAACGCCATCTAGATTTTCTCAAAGTTTTTTTTATGCTTCAGGGTTTTCTTAAATATGGTATTTCCCAATGTAAAATTCCAGCCTGGCGACAAAATTGCTCAAAAGACAAAAGACGTTTCATGTATCGGGGAAGAATTGACTACGCTGTAGGATATAGGTTTGTCTAAATTAGGTTTGAATTGACCTACTACTGATTCCTTATCAGCTGGTAAACGTACATGACATTTATTCCTTATCAAAAAGGCCTCAGAGCACTAATTCCAATATGGTTCTCTGGACAAGACTGTTGGCACTGGGTATCCTTGTAGCAGGGACTCTTGGAGCTCGGAATTTTGCAAAAAATCCAGGGTTGTCTTCAATAGCGGATTGGGATTGTTATTCCTGTAAATCGGCTCTATCAGACGACAGTCACAGTGGGAAACACAGTCTTTTGGTTACTTCAAGGTAAACATTTTAAAATGGCGGACGAATCCATAAAAGTAAAAGTTATACTTTTGGTAAATCTTGGATTTGTTGTAATAGCCAGTCTCGAAAAAAAGTTTTGGTCAAGGCGTTAAAATTTTAGTTTTCTATAGGTTTCTTTTAGCAGCTACAATAGGAATCAGCCCGGATTTCTCTTAACGCTAGGACGTCCTAAAACAGTGTTAGATATTAAGACCCTAGGACGTCCTAGCCCTGAGATCGTTTCGAGAATACGGGGCAAGGTCTTCTGATTATCTTAAATAACAGTTCAAAAATGACGGTGATGAATTAGCAGCCAAAATTTCGGCGAATTTCTGGCTTTCGTTTGCGCAATTATGGAAGTGCAATGACAAGAGGTTTCAACCAGGACCAATTGGTAGAAAGGATCCTAATGAACTTTACTATCCTTGTAAATGCTGGTTGTTTCTTTTGTTTCTTACTTCATTTCATTGGTCGAGGATTGATATTATTTCATGTATACTTGACCCGTGTACACGATATGTTACAGGCAATATGATTGGGCAGGACCATCTCAAACTGCGAGCCTACCAGCCGACAAGACATACTACTTCCGGTTTATGGTGAAGTTTTTGAACAATGTGAATGGCAAGATGTATCACCAAATAGACACCACACTGGATATTCTCGACACAAACGGTACGTAACTGATCGAGAAAAAAGATTTTATTTTTAATTTTCGTTTCATATCTCTTGCTCAATACGTTTTGTTTTATGTCTTGTGGAAAAATGACTCGCGATTTGGATCTCGAAAAAGAGTAGGCACATGTATTTATCATGTTAAATTGCATACATACAATCCGTGAAGTAATGAAGTATGGAAAAATAGGGGCATAATGTACATTTTATTTCATTAGACCAATAAGGTGGACAAAAGTACTAATGGCCGTATGCAGTGCTCTTACCTTGACTAAAGTTGAACTTTGGCTAAACTTTACATGAAGGCTTTCATTTTCTACATTTGATAGTCAAATTTAAGCACGACTTTTGTAAAGATCGATCCGTGCATACTTAAAGTTCGACTTAAGTCTTACTTTAATAAAAGTTTAGGTAAAGTACGAGCGCTGCATATGGCCCTAAGTATAACACAATTTCATTTCATTAACCCACAAAGGTGACGAAAAGTGGGACGTATATTTCATTTCATTTGTCCAATAAGAAGGACATAAAACCCCCGTTTTCTATTGTAGGAAAACATCATTACGTGGCTTGTGGAGTATCCCCCTACTTACTGCCCGGAGTCTGGCATGTAGTGGGCGGGGATTATTATATTCCAGCCAATAGTAAGTCGGCATAAATTACAATTAAGATTAGATCAAAACATCTGACTTTATTCCAGCCTCTGATAGCTACTCTGACAGTTTTCGCCTACTTCAATCGACAACGGTCGAAATATCTATCAGAGGCTGGAATAGAGGCAGATGTTTCGGATTGAATTAGGATATATTACTATAAAAGAGGTCCCTTGTGTTATAAGCTTTTAAAATGATGCCTTTTCTAGGCTAGCCAAAAATGCTTAGTTTTAGTGGAATTAGGTCGAAGGCACTTATTGGCTATATTGCCAAGCGTAAGATACCAATCAAATCGATTCATTTACGAACTTCAGTAATACATTGATGCCAAGGCATTAGACGCAGTTCGTAACAACTTGACATTGTGAAGATAAAGCGAAGAAACCATGCGTTAGATAATCCGTTCTGTTTTCAGCCAAGACTGTAAGATTCGGTATTAAATCACCAGATAAGGAATTGAATTTCCTGATAGATGACGTGGTAGTTGATTGGATAGATCATAACCCAAGTTTTATGGCTGACACCGACAGAGATATTGATAAATACAGGAAGTCTGACCTCACCCTCAAGTAAGTGTCTGAATGAATGAATGAATGAATGAATGAATAAGAAAAGGGACCGTAGAAAGGCTCGTTAAGGGAATGGACGAACGCATAAACGGCGAAATAAACAATGAAGACACAAAAAAGACATAAAAAAAAGAAACGTAATGAAAAGACACAAAAAATAACATTCCAAATTAATGATGAACTTTATTATTATTTCAGAGTTGTCGCCCCTAAATCTCTGACTGGATTAAAAGTAGAGGTAAGTAAAGCAGGAAAATCTAATTACATTACGTCACTTCCGGAAAAGCACTACTATAAAAAAAAATTGCTTGATAAAAAGCTGACGACTGTTATTGCATATATCGTTCATTTGTGCGGGCCAAATCTGTCTTGTCTGCATAAGGTCAAGTGGGTGCAGAAAATTAGGACGTAAAACTCCACTTTTTCCATTACAGCTTCAACAAATCACGAGTGAGTTCGGTTGGGGATCAGCTGTTAATGAAAGAGATATTGTTGAGGATCACAAACCGAAATATAAAGAATTCTTCTATGATCTGTTTGAATGGGCTGTTTTAGAAACTGGTTTGAAATGGACGGCTTTAGAACCAAAACAGGTGAATATGACTTATTATTTTTAAAGGGAAACGTTCGCCATCCTTTTTATTAATTATACCTTAGTCTCAGAAACGAGAATTCTTTAGCTAAGCTAATCAGTAATAGTGTTCACAACTGTATTGACCGTGATGTGCTCGACTATATCATCTTCACAATGTCCAGGTATTACCAACTTCGTATTATACCTTGACTACAATAGCCACCTTTCTTGACTCACGGAAAAGTTAATACAGCCAATTAGAGTTCTTTTGGCTTATTGATTACAGACATTCTGTCGAGGGCTCTGATTGGCTCAATTCGCTTACGTACAATCGAATCAAATCGCTGCATTCCGTGATACAAGAACATAGGTTATTGAAGTCAAGGTATGAGACGAAGTTCGTAATAGCTTGACATTGTGAAAATGTACTATATATGAAATGGAGGTTTCTTTTTGTAGGGTCATGTGGATTATTCTCGAGCTTTAAAAGCTGTAGATTATATGATATCCCGTGGGTAAGTGGAAAGCTAAACTCTTAAGTCTTATCTCCCTTTCTCATCCAGAAAAGGCTTTTATGACAGCTGACGATCCGATGTATTCTTAAATTGTCTACTTTAGTCCACGTGTTGAAAAGTTCCCACTTTTAAACCACATTGTTATGTCGGGTATTGTTTTAATTGTACGCGAATGGTATTCTTTATTCTATTATTAGCCCGAAATGCTCTTTTCAGCATAGAAGTAAGATGAAATAATGACGAGCATTGTTTTAATTTAATTGTATACGAAGGGCATTTCTCTTTTCAGCATCAAAGTAAGAGGACATAATATATTTTGGGGTGGTAAAAATGTCGTGCCCTCGTGGCAGAAAGATATGGATCCAGTAAAACTGAAACAAGCCATGCAGAAACACGTAACAGAGCTGACTCATACCTTTAAAGGAAGGTGAGATAAGATATCAATTGCTATGCTTCAGCCAGGGGCGTACATAGAAAATGCCTGAGGGGAAGGGGGCGCCAAAAATTTGAAGTGTCTCTCCGAAGCGTGGTTCGTATGGTCGAAGCCCCTTAAGGCCAGAAGCCAATGGATTTCATGTGACTTGAGATGAATTTTGAGCATAGAGAGGGCATAATTTATACTTCAAAATAAGCAAATGACATTCTGCTTTGACAAAGTCTTGATCAATTAAAATTTCAGATTTCAACATTATGACGTCGAAAACGAAAACTTACATCTGCATTTTTACGAAGAAAAATTAAAAGATCCTAATATTACTCAATGGATGTTCCGAGAAACTCATAAACATGATCCAAATGCCAAATGTTTCTTGAACGAATACGACATTGTGGCTGGATACATGACCACTGCTGTAAGTAGCCTTTCAAATGAAATGGAGTTTAGGAGGTAAAGTTGCAACGCAAAACTTTCATTGACAAACATGGGAAATAGAAAAACATTTTCAAGTTTCACAAGAGATAACATTTTCCCAGAGTAGGGGATTTTAACTTTGCCGGAAAATGTCAACAGAAAGCCACTGGGATCAGCGTGAAATGTCTGCCGTGAGTTGAGTACATAAACTTATTTGAGAATATTTTGCAGGCATACGAGGATCAGGCTATCCAGTTTAAACAACAAGGTGTACCAGTCGAGGGTATGGGTATCCAGAGTCATCTGAGAGGACATATAGACGTTGCTGTTATCAAGGTACAGTGGAGCCTCGTTCATAAGCACATTTCCGTTTCCTTTCCTGATCAAATCTTGCAGATGAATTTCCGGTTTGTTGAAATATGGCAACCAGACATAATTTGAGTTACTTCCCTTGGATTTGGATACGATGTGATAAACGTGGTGTAACGTTCGTTCCCTTGGTGGAAAGTGCACATGGAATAGGTGTTTTTTTCGCGTACACGAGTTTAGGCCTACTCCTCCTTCCCTAGTGGAGAATGTTTCCGACCAACTGGCAGATTCCTCTTCCCGCAGAATTGAGGTCTCTGAAACCTTTCATTTCGTGTCTTTCGCCCATTTACCAATTCGGATAACACAGCTGGCTTCCATTCTTACTAAGAGGTCTCTTAAATCTTCCATTTCGCAATTTTTCAGCGTCGACTGGATGAAGCAGCTCTTGCACATTTACCAATTTGGATAACAGAGCTGGACATCGTAGAAACAGATGAACACAAGAAGGCCAAGAAATACGAGGACTTAATGAGGTTGTATTTCAGTCATCCGTCCGTCCATGGTGTCATGTTTTGGGGATTTTGGGACGGGCATCATTGGCGGAAAGACGCCGCCATTGCTAATGGTCCCAATGTAACGGTAGGGGAATTTAGAGTTTATTTACTTTCGCTTTGCCTTGTCCCAAGTATTTTTCACCTCGCCATGACAGTCCTGTAATAGCTACTTGGCCAAATCTTAACCAGATGATGCTATCAAAGTTTTGGGCAAAGGTAGAGCGGCGTTTGATCGGCGGATATAGTTCTGTCTGGTTCGTCTATGATTTCAAAAAATGTAAGATATCTATCAGTCCCTCCAGGACAAATGTCATTGTATCAGTATCAAAGGACTCTGTATATGAAGATCGTTTTGTCAATATCGATGGTTGGTTGGTTCTCCAAAGATTTGTTGCGTTTTTATATGTAGCCCAATGCAGCCGGACGAAAGGTGCAAGAACTGTTGAAGAAAACGTGGAGGACGAATGAAACCCATGATTTTAGCGGCCTAGATATAAAAACACGTGCATTCAAAGGGTCATACAAATTATTGGTACATCGTAATGGTAAAATTATACATTCTCAAAATGTTCAACTAAGCAAGGACAGTACCGTCACTTTGGATCTGAATCATTTAGGTAAATTTCTTTCCATTTTGTTATATTGGGTTACGTTCAGGTATAAGGACCACCGACAGTAAGTGTCCTTTGGAACAGCGTAATTTGGGTATTTCTTTCCATTTATCAATTTTGGTAAAATTGGGGAAGAAGGGCCACCACATAATTACTGATCTCAATATTTCGTATATGACGTTCCATTTTGTTATTTTGGGTGAAATTGGGGAATAAGAACAACAACCGTCAATCTATACATGACACTTGGGGAGATTTCGCACAAAGTGATAGTACCTCCTTCACAACATGCTTATGTTAAGTTGTCCGGTGCGGTTTGTCTATTTACTGCGTAAAACCAAAACGGACGTATTCGCGCAAATTACTGAAATTTATATAGAAATATTGATAGAGTCACCCTACTCAAATATGATTTTCTTTTGTAGAAAATAAGGACAACCTTGGCAAATTTCATCATTATTTTGTTTGTATTTCTAGGCATTGTTGGTTAGTCATTTTAAATGGAATACTACCATAACCAGAAATAGTTTTAATTATAAATTTACGCCATCTTTTACTTTGCGTTTGTATTCAGTTCTTTGGCTAAATTATGGTGATTAGAGTCACCATTTAAAGGCCAATGATTGGACTCAATAGTGTTTCATTGGTTCAAAGATGGACAGAGACGTAGGCACAAGGTTTCATTTTATTTCAACATCTCAATAAGATACAGAAAATGAAATAGAAAGCTCAATTTCATTTCATTAGCTCATTTAAGCTTAGGAACTGTAGGAAGTAAACTCCATTTCATTTCATTAGCCCAATAAGATACAGAGATGTAGATAATAAAGTTCCATTTCATTTCATTAGCCAAATAAGATACAGAGCTGTAGATCATAGAGCTCCATTTCATTTCATTAACCAGATAAGATACAGAGCTAAAAAGGTACAAGGCAATGGCACTTAAAAAACGATTTCATTTCCTTATCCAAAAAAGAAACGGAGCTGTAGATCATAGAGCCCCATTTCATTTCATTAACCCCATACGATGCAGATCAATAAGACGTAAAACTCGTGTTTATTTCTCCTAGTAATACAAACATATTAGAACACATACACATAAATATGAACAAAAAAGTTATCCTTGAAACATAGAAGGTAAAACTAAACCTAGTTCTGCTCTTCAATAGATCGTTGGACTTATTTGTTTAAAGATAAAGTTTATTCTAGTAGGCCCTGGTCTATAGTAGTAGAATACAATTATTACGTTTTTATCGACCCATACGAACTTTTACAAATCTGATTTTATAAGCAAGTCCAGCTTGCTAGAAGAAGGAGTTTTTTTTATGGAAAGGTAGTAAAGGGGGGGGGGGGGGGGGGGCTTAGGCTTGTATAATAAGCATATCCAGAAAACATCCAAAACATAAACATGAGCAGTCCACATTCTACCTTATAATAAAGTGGACTGTTCGAGTATACCTTTGGATTCATCCCCAGAAGTGCAAAAATGCCTTTGGCTATATCAAGACGGTACAATATAAATCTCAACAATACAATACTACCCGAATAACCCGTATCGACAGTAATTTATCTCTGATTACGTTATTGTTTGGTATATAACGTATCCTTATTTGGTAATGTATGTGCATTACAGTTATCTGTCACACAGCAAAAGTCACATTCCAAGTTCGTCTGATAAGTTGTCATTTTGTCCAATTCAAGACATTTCGTCATTTTAGCTGACCGGTTGATCCATTTTTCGTCACATTCTTGAACGCTGGCACACCTACAAAAGATAAGATAAGAGTGAGTTATATGGAAGCATATCTCGGCCGTTATATTACATGGAAGTCAATCGCTGATATTTTATGGAAGATTTTATCGGTCATTTTGCCATATGCAATCCTATGGTGGATATTTTACTTAATGCAATTCTTTCGCAGATATTTAACTATTTGAAAGCCTGTTATAGTCATTTCATTTAATAAGGCCTTTTCAGAAAGATAATACAAGTATTACACGGGATATTCCTCTATGGAAGCCATTTTATGATACAGAAACTGTTTACTGTCATTTAATTGTATTAGAGACACTGTGATCATTTCAGCATATGAAAGCTAAATGCAGCAACCTAATGTCTAACTATATGGAAGCGTGTAGCGGCCGTTAATATATATCTATTTATGAAAGCGTATAATAAGCCATTCTACGCAGATAATTTTACCAATTCCAACCTTCGATGCTGGGATTGAATAACTTTGTTATGTCCATACCTTTTATCAAGTCTTCTCTTTCCGTTTGCATCAAAACTTACGGAACTCAGGCAATATGGCGTATCTTGGCGACAATAGTTGATGTTTGCGAACCCGATGAGACAAAACGGGTCATTACAAACCTGGCAACGAGCTGAAAATACAATATAGAGATTGGTCTGTGGAAGTTTTTCGGTGGGCGTAAGCCGAGTAGGGGGTCACGGGATTTTTAGAAAGCAATGATAAGATATTTGCGAGTGCCTTTTGGACGACAATTCCGTACCCGAGAGGGAGAGAGGTAAGAAATGTACTAACTGTTGGTGAGCGGAGGAGGTGTAAACGAGTTCGATCCAGTTGTAGCGGAAGTCATTGTTATGGTTGTTAGGGAAGTTGTTCGGACAGATGTGTCTTGGGATTGTGTCAAACCGCCAGTTCTGTAAGAAGCATTGGAAGTATGTGTGGGTCCTTGAGAACCCCCATTGTTAGTAGAAGTTACAGCAGCAATTGTATCCGTGGCTCGATGTTCCTGAACAGCCATTCTATTAGTTCCAGTCACTTCCGATGTCATGGGGCCTTCTTCAGTAATTCCAGAGTGTTTCTGCGTTACCATATCACTGGTTACAGCCAAATCCGGTGTCAAAGTGCCATCTTCAGTGACCCCAGAATATCTTTGCGTTACCATAGACATTCCTTGGTCCATTGACACACCCTCTAAAGTAACTCCAGAATCCGTTGCTGAGTTGTTCCAGAGTCCTCGAGTGACAGTGTGATTGGGAATTGCGTTTGTGTGAATTTCTGATGTCGCCAGTTCATCAGTGAACCCATCATCCGTTACGGGTTCATCCGTATTTTGAACCCGGGGACTAGCCGTTTCTACAGCATCTGTAATTCCAGAATCCGTAAATTGCGGGCTATCAGTAACTTGATTAGTTAACATTACATTTGGATTTATGGTATCCGTTGTTAGTTTGTTATCGGTAACCATAGAATCCGATGTTACTTCGTTATCGGTAACCATGGAATCCGATGTTACTTTGTTGTCGGTAACCATAAAATCTGTTGTCATTTCGTTATCAGTTACCATAAAATGTGTAAGCATTTTGTTGTTGGTAACCATAGAATCTGTTGTTACCTCGTTATCGGTAACCATAGAATCTGTTACTTCGTTATCAGTTACCATAGAATCCGATGTAACTTGGTTATCGGTTACCATGGAATCAGTTCTGATTTCGTTGTCGGTTACCATGGAATCTGTTGTTACTTCGTTATCGGTAACTCTAGAATCTGTTTTTAGCTCGTTAGCAGTTACCATGGAATTTGTTGTTACCTCGTTATTAGTTACCATAGAATCTGTTATTCTTTGATCCGTCACCAGTTGCCCTTCGGTTGTCACTTCATCAGTAATACCTTGAAAATATGTTAATGCTTCTCCAGTTACGATTGCGTCCGTTGTTACAGTTTCTGTTAACCACGGAACTGTTACAACTTCGGAACTCATGATAAATTGTTCTGAAGAGGATGGCTTGATCATCGCAGATGCGTCTACTGAAGATGTTGGTTGGATAGTGCCGAATACATCTACTGAAGACTGTGGTAGCTCAGTTGCAGAACTTTGAACCAGCAAAATGTTTTCTGAGCTTCTTTCTTCTGTCAACGACGGAAATTGACTGCTCATTTCCATCCTGAGAGATGTCTGTGGACCTTCGACCACCTTGGACGAGGTGATTACGAGTACCTTAGTGCGAGATAAAATGACTCTGGTTGTTGACATCTCAGGAACACTAACTGGGAAAGATGATTGTAGGATGTTTTGGGATGATTCGGTTGAAGTGGATGACTGTTCATAGCTGGATTGCAGATGCTGTGATGCAATGATCGGACTGCCGGAGAAGACACCAGAAGTCGGTGACGGAGTAATCGCATTGGAAGTTACCAATGAATCGGTGACGATAGCACCTGTCGATGGATTGATGGTGGTTTTATCGGAAGTTGGAATAGGCGTCGTGGTGGGCGGTTTAGATGTCGCTTTAGCAGTTGTTTTCAACAGATGTGGAGGATGTGTATGCTTATGATGTCCACAAACTCCACATGATTTTGGACACACTTCCTTGATGACGATGTCCTTACAGCTTTTGTGATCACTGCTTTGGATGCTATCACATTCTCTGTTGTGATCCACACATTTGTTGGAGTCGGGCTTCAACAATCCACAGATACCACACGACAAGGGACAGAACTCGTACACCCACTCCTCGCGACATTCCGCAGTTCCTCGGATTTTGTAGCAGTCTACTTGGTCATGATCCTTACAGTCCGTTACAAAAGGATGTTCGGCATTGATGTCTGTTGCTGAAATAAAAATATGCATCTAATAGTTCGGATGGGACAATAAATTGAGGCCCGGTGTTTCACAGGATGTGATACCTCCTCGTCAATTGGAGGAACAGACGATGGGCTGTTTCCAGCTTCCTAAAAGCAGAAGATCTAATAAAAGTGGAAATCAAATAAGATCGACGTACCTGACAGAAGAATTAAGACACAGCAGAATTTCCACGTGTCCATTACAGTAGACAATTCGAACACGTCTTGGCAAAGGCTATCTTGGA